ATACATCACTCTGCTCCATCTGACAAATCTGAAATATGGGATTCAGAATAAAAGATTTTTTTCTTTTTCACGCTGTAGCAAAATTTCAGTAAGGCATGTAGGCTCTTTATCATTTGGGTGCAGAGAACTTTGTCGACTACAGATTCTGTCCTGCATTCCAGAGCTGTTCACTAATTCACAGAATTAAGGGCTTACAGGAGAGCTGGTGAACATCTCCATTGGCTGTACAGTAAGTTAGGATACAAGCATTTATTAGACAGTTATAACTGTTCAAAACCCACTAGAGATGCATTCACTTTAGTTTAAGGGTTGCACATTTCCCTACAAATGGCTTGTTGTGAATAATGTAAATTGCATCCCTGAGAATAAATTAAATACATTTGCCGCTATTGTTAATGTGTTGGAACAGTTGGGCCATAAATCACTTGAACAACATTTATAGATTACTGTAGTCTATCTAGACCGAGCTTGTAAATAGCTGTGTAACTCATAATTCAGTGATTTGCAGCCCTCTGAAGAAAACCTTAGAGATTTTTCTCTTGTTTTTCTCCCCTCCCTTCTCCTATGATATCGACAAACATCTAGCTCAAAGAAATTCATTTTGAACACTTTTATAAAGCTTTTCTTTTTAATAGAAGCTAGAGGATTTAATATATAACAAAAAGGAATCCACCAGAAGCATATAGAGTGGCTCACTGCCCATTGGTGGGCCATCACTCTTGTATCCTTCTGGTCTTTCCCTATCAAGCCATCCTTTCTGGAAGCCTCCGGAATTCCCTATAGGGAGAAACCATTTTCCAAAGCCTTGAGGCTTCCTTTGTCCTTTCTTTTCTCTCCTTGACCTTCCCCCCCCCACTCCCCCACCTCTTTTCCCCTCTGCCTCCACCCCCAACAACATTATCATAGGAACCAATGCAGACACATTTTGTCTACTCTCAACGCCATCAATTCATTAGAACTTAGGGCACATCGGAAGTAAAATGGTCATTCAGCTTTAGAACCAATACAGACCATTGATTTCAGTTTTATCCTTGAAAATAAGAGTGAGTAAAAAAGTGTTTCTCTGTGCTAGGCATTTTGTGTGCATTATATCATTTAATACTCGTAATATAGCATTAGCCCCTTGTATTAGGGAGGAAAGTGAAATATACAGAAGTAAAATTACAAATTATACCCACAATACCTGAGGTTGCAGCATCTGATTTTGAAACGGAGCCTAATTCAAAAGCCAGCATCTGTGTTCTTTCAGCTTGACCTATTTGTTCATAACTATGGTGAGCTATTCCAATCTGAGGGAAATACGTCACGTCTGTTCGATAGAATGCTCTGACATTTTGCCTCCATTAACTGTGCTTGACTCTCCTAACCTGCAGTGGCCCTCTCCCTCCCACATTTACCTTTGTTCCTTTCCTTTGCCTCTTTCTGGTCACATTGGGCCTCCAGGCTGAGAGAACCGCCATGCTTCTTGAGGGAATACACTCCAAATTATCTTTTAAAAGGCTTGCTCTTTTCTGAGTAGGTGTCAATAGGGAGTGGAGAGTCCTTGCAGTGGGGGTTCCGTTAGTGCCCCACGTGTGTGTGTGTCTGCCATCCCCGAAGACTCTGCTCAGCAGACATCAGCCCTCGTTCGCTGACTCACATCCCAGAGTTTGACTGTGGTCTGTTTTGTGCTCCACCAATTTTCAGCTTGTTCCTGGTGGCCCTTGATTGAGTGGCCCCAACCTTGGAGTAATCAGTGATGGGTTGAAACTTGATAGCTCTTGGTTTTCATTTAGATGATGCTTTGCTGAACTGCCGTCTCAGGGCACAGCGCAGCAGAAACCTCCCACCAAACCTGAGTGTCCCCCAGTTGCAATACGGACAGCATGACTTCATCTTTGTAGAGTGCTTTTTGTGTTCCGAGTACTCTCAGACTTATTTCACTGTCTTGACTTCATGGTGAGTTATTTGCAGGGTTAATCTCTGAGTGAAGAAATGAAGGCGGAAAAATGACGTTTATTGCTGGAGGCAACGGCTTTAGGTTTCTAAGGAAATAGATTTCTGCCAATGCCGGCTTCGCAATTACAATGTGCTAATACCGGTTCTCAAAATCTCTGACTTTCTGCACAGGATAGTTTTGACATAGGACTATTCAGATGATTGGATAGCGTGCTTGGCATATTTTAGTCACATGCATAATTTAGAACAGGGAAATGAAGACTGATTAGCCGTTGTGATGATAATAAAATTAGTCATCTTGATACTGAATTAATACTAAATTATTAATGCATAAATATCACTCATAAAGCAGGTATACAAAGACAGTACTTGATGCAGCTGTTGACATCCGGGAAAATAGCAGAGAGGGGCTGTCGAGATTCTGGTTTCTGTTCTGCTCTTTAAGTTGTGTCGCTTTGACGGGTCACTGACGCTCTTTGAAGCTCAGTTTACTGATCTGTAAAAGTGAGTGTAATAGTCACCTTCTGGAATATCAGATGATTTTATTGGGATTACAAATGCATCAAAAATTAATAATATTGAAAATGTTTAAACATCAAAGAGCCCAAATGTCACTTACAATAAATGTTTGTAATTGCTCATAGCTTCCTGAAAGTAGCTACAGAGTTTTCTTCACAAACTATGAAAAGTGACTACTCAACTTTTTAAAATAGTGAAATACAAAACTTGATTTTTAAAAATGACTTTAATTCCTCTTTGATCTATGTGAGATCTGTCTTTACTGTCAATGATATTTCATTATTATGATGGCTTTTATTAACTTTAGTATCAAACTACTATGTATGAACAGTTTTGAACTCAGGTTTGTCATCTATACTCCATTATACTTGTGATTTCTATTCCATCCCAAATGTATGTTTCATGTCCATGAAGAAAAGGCCAGGTTTTCACTTTGAATTTTAAACGTGCATTTACAGTACATGAAGGTTATCCTACAAGTCCTTCTTTGCATCATTTCCGTCCCCCAGGTTGGTAATATAGGGGAAAAAATGTGAAAATACAATTTCCCCCATGGCACACTATAGCACTGATTGCCAGGGAATGAAATGGCATGTCTGATGAGTCATAATTGACAGAGCTCTCTTGCTGGTTTTTGTACACACTTCAGCTTTTTAAAATTTATGTTTCTCTCCAAGTCTTAACTTCCTTTCCATTGTGGTAACAATACACATACTACCATGAGAAAATATCTCTGAATAATTTCAAGTGCACTATGGTTTCTTAAAGAAGGATGTTAATGTGTTTGATATTAGATTTATCATATCCTAGTAGTATTCCTTAGGTTTTCATATTTGTTGGGTTTTTTTAAGGTTTACACTACTACATGTATTATATGGTAGTAATAGAGAAAAATAATAATACTTACAGGTAGAAATATTATGGGTGTTTTTACCTTAAAATTAGTTTATATATTTTATGGAAACCACAGTCCCATCCCTCAGATTTTTCCCCATTCCAAGAGGTGCCCAGAGAAAATGCAATTTGATTGCAAGTCTTATTTTCTAGGTGCTAATTTTCATCTTTAGAGGCAAGTGTTAGATACATAGCAATGCTGAATAAACAACTGCAAGAAATAAGTTTGAGATTTAGAAACAGCCCAAACACACTGTATTTTCTTTCCTCTTTGTCTCCCTTCTAAGCACTGGCACTTTGGGCAAGTTATTTAACCTCAGTAAGTTAAATAGTTAGACTAATAGTGCACATCTCAGAAGGCAGAGTAGAGATTGAAACGTGTAAGTCATTTAGCATGGGGTCTAGCACATCATACAAAAATAAATTCAACCAATTTCAATCATCCATGATAAATGCTCTGTTAGGCAGTAGGGCACTGGCAGTGAAGATTCCTTGTCCTCATGGAACCTCCAGTCTAATGAGGAATGCAGAAAATCCCTACTGTTTCAACAGAGTAGAATGTGTTAAAAGAGCAAAACAAACGGTGTCATGAGAGCATATGCTGGCACATGGTCTAATCCCAAGGAGGATCGGCGAAGTTTTTTAGGAGAGAATATTTATATGGAAACTTCAGAGAAGAGTAAGGGTTAGTTACGCAGAGGAGTGATGGGGAAGAAGGGAGAAAAAAGAAAGAAAATGTTTGGTGTGAGTGAGAGCCTAGAGCAATGGTGTGACTACAAAGAATGAACCCAGGTCAGAGTCCCATGTGGGTGCCCTCCATGTTGGTAGCCCTGTGTATAGACGTTTACAAATATTAATACTTCAACGAGGGATCAGTCTTGAAACCAGTGCTGTCCAGTCTTAAGATTGATCAGCCGTGAACGTTCTCATTCGTATCTAGTACATGCGGTGCCCTGAAGTCAGCAGCCCTGTGTTTGGGCTCTCCTTCTAGCAGGTCAGATGACTTTGGCTACCCAAGGATAGGATTCTTCTGAGAAGAAAGGGTCCCAGTAATCTTTGGTGGGAGAGGAAAGGCAGAACTGGAGAGTGAGATCTCAGACACATTCTAGATGCAGTGGTGGACCCCTTTTCTTTGGTTTGTGGTCGGGACTGGAATTGGAATAGGGCATAAACAGTAAAACAAAAATATCACAGAATCGACGTTTAGTCTTCCCGGGTCTAAAGAGGGACCCAGCACTCCTACACAGCTGATAGAGACCAAAACTTCTGTCCTGGGATTCTCATTCCAGACAGCATCCTAGGGCCCATTCCAGGCCGGGAGTTCATTGCTTATTCTGACTCATCTTCTTTATTTGGTCCTTGAAGGGTTGGGGTTTAGAGTGAAAAACGAAGGGTAAAAGGAGAAGAAGAAAAAGAAGGGAGAGGGAGAGTGATTGGGATTAGGGGTGTATGTGCCCTCAATTCAAACAGGAGCTTCCACCTCAGGATGCTCCGGGTGGGAGAGAGATGGTTAGGAGTGCCTGCTTCATTTATGTCATTCATTAATGTCTCCTGAATATTGGTGTGTCAGTGCCATTTATAGTTCTTGTTGGACAAAAATTATTTAGAAATGTTTCAAATTTACAAAAAATCCACATCACTAATTTTCAAGTTAGCCACGTATGCTTTATTAACTTTCTCTCTGCCTCCTCCATACATAGACACACACATGCGCGTATACATATATGAAAAATAACAGTATATTGTGCATATATACACACACCATTAATATTTCTGAGCCATCTGAGCATATGTTGAAGGCATCACACCCCTTTACCCTATAGTATCTTTAATTCAATATGCCTTTCCTAAGAACAATTTGCTAACATAATCACACAATGGTTAAGAAATTCAGGAAATACAATGTTGACATAGTACTTACAGCTCCTTTCTAGGCCATATTCCCATGTTCTCAGTGGCCCAGAAATGCTCTCCAGAGCATTTATATTCCTTTCATAGCAGGATCCAGACCATATTGCATTTGATAATCATCTCTTTTGTTTCTTCCATCTTTCTTTCTCTTGTATGACTTTGAAATGTTCGAGGAATGCAGGGCAGTATTTGGACTTGGATTTGGGTCATTCTTCTTTCTTCATTCCCCAGCCCCAACAGTTATATATAAGCAGCAGACAGCCTCGGACACTCCGATTGGATATGCCATACATCACTCATCTGTTCCAGGGTCGCTGATTGGATTATAAATATTCACGTTCACAATTCCTTAGTGTCATGAAATACCAGCCAGAAGGACTCTCTCAGGGATGTCTCTGACCATTATAAAATCTCTGCCCACACATCTTAGCCAAGCAAACATCTCCTGGTATTGATGTGTCATCCTGACATCCTCTTAGCAGTAGCCCAGCAAAGCCATACCAGGACCATTATGTCATCTTGATGATACCATAGCTTCTGCCCCTGCTCTTGTCATCCTGTTATACTGAAACATGTGTCTGGCATGCCTTCCAGTTAACTCCCTAAATTGGATGAGTCAGCCCCTAGACTGAGAGCGTCTTTCATGAACCGTGGGCTCCTCGGAGACAGGCAGTGAGCCATATTCATTGTCCTGTCCCTAGCTTGACTCTGCCACCCTTCAGTCTGTGGTTTGCCTCGCTTTTTGGTTAGTCTGTAAGCCACAGTTCCTGGTGTCCGTTCTCTCTCTCCTTTCCATCTCTGATTAGCACTGTCCATGCTACATGCTTTCCAGGTTAAAATAAATAGCAGCCACAATAACCACGATCGCAGCGAAGCTCTGTGATGCCCTGTTGCACCTACTGTCCCCGCCTCCGCAGAGTCCACAAGCATCGCTACTTTACAAGGAGAAGAGCTGAAGATACTGAGGAGCAAAGTAATGCTTCCAGACTGAAATCCTGGTTTGAGTTCCTACTGTACAGTGGTTTTACTCTTCGAACTTTCAGTGTCACCATCTGGAAAAACGAGGATCCTCAGAGTGCACCTAGTTGGACTCTGAAAGGCTTTAGGAGATAATCTCATGGAATGTTCACCCCAATACTGGGTGTGTGTTCTTCCTGTAAAATGTTGCCTGTCTATTATTTGGGGGACACGACTGCATCCAGAATATAGTCTCAGTCTCAGTCTCCAATGTTATTACCCACTTAATCTCTCAAAAGACAAGCAGAAGCTGTAAGAGGCTATTCCACTATACATAGAGTTGCATGTCGTACTGGCCCCCTCAGATCTAGGGTAAAGTAGAGGAAGAAACAGTCTCTCATTGTAGGGCCCAAGATTCCAGCCTCTGGCCTCTCTGGCCAGTAACTTTAGTTTACAGTATTTTAATTCCTGATCAGGTTTGCAGTGATGTCATAGCAAATATTCCTCTGTTGTACGCTGTCTTTGACCTGTGTAAAATACAGTGATAATAAGAGTTCATTACACTTGCCAAATCCAAAATTTCCAGGAACTCGGAATGCTTACATTCATTAATCTCATTTCACTCATTAAATACCCCAAAGTCCTGGGAGGGTAAGTGATAAATATTTGCTCTCTTTCAGCCGGTGAAAAGGCCAGGGTGCTCTTGCAAGGCTTGGGCTGTCACTCACTCATACAATCTTGTAGAAATCTGTGTATGGAATATCTCTTATGGGTCTGGGCCTACCAGGTACTCGGAATATCACCCATCAGTGAGAGCAAGTCCCAGTCCTCCAGGAGCTTGCATTCTAGTAGAAAGGAAAGACATAATGAAAACCAAACATCAGAACACACCAATTTAACGTATCAGGTTAGTGGTAAGTGATAAGAAGGAAAAATAATGAGACAAAGCGTGACATGGAAGAGTTGCTGACATTCCTATACAGCTTTGTCAAAGAAGTCTCAAATAGGGGAGCACTTGAGCAGGGCCCTGACGGAAGTTAGAGGGCAAATCATGTAGGTGCTGGAGGAAGAGCACTGCAGGCAGAGGGAACAGCAAGAACAAAAGCCCTGAGACCAGGAGTGCTTGGAGTTGTCCAGGAACACCCGGGAGGCCGGAGTGGTGAAGGAAGCAGTGGACAGTGAGCATCGAAGGCCATGAGCATTCACAGGTGGTGATGGACCAGTCTGTGCAGGACCTTGTAGGTCCTAGAAAAGGACTTAGTTTTCATGCTAAGTTGGGAAACTATTGCAAAGTGTGGAAGAGAGAAGTTAAGTGATCTAATTTGTGTTATTTTAAAAGATAATTCTGGCCCCAGAGTTCAACATCATCTATAGAACAGGAAGGGCAGAATTAGTTATGCAGTTACCGTTATCATCGAAGTGAAAGGTGACTGTGACTGACCAGGGTGGGAGTGATGCAGATTGTGAGAAGCAGCTGCATCATAGATTTTATTTTGAAGTTGGAGCTGAAAGGATCTGCTCAGAGTATGACTGTTAGATGTAAGGGGGAAAAAAAAGAATCAAAGATGACTCCTAATTTTTTGACCTGAACCTCTGGATGGCTAGAGTTGTCATTAACAGAGATAGGAGAGATTTGAGGAAGGTGCTGAGGTCCAGAAAATTAGGAAGTTGTTATCGTACAAATCAAATTCCAACAGTGGTTTGAGGACAGTGGTTTCCAAACTACAGAGTGTACCAAAATCACCTGCAGAGCTTCTTAAAACATAGATTGCTGGACCCTTCCCTAGACCTGTTTTTTTTTTTCCCTCCCCACAGAGTTTTTTGATTCGATGGGTGTGGGGTGGGGGTCAATAATTTGCATTTCGAACAAGTGCCAGGTGATGTTGGTGCTGCTGGTGCCGGGACCACACGTGGAGAACCACTGCTCTAGTCCCGGATGTATCTGCGGAAGAGGTCAGCTAAGGTAAAGAGAATGCCCAGATCATTAGACGAGAGGAGTGAAGTCACAGGTGCTGGAGTGCTCTCCGTGCCTTACTGCCGGAGCACGCGCTTCCGGCCAAGCTCAGCGTGTACTGGCCCATGACTCAGCTTCTGAGCATTGACTCCACTTTCTATCCTGTCACAAAGAACCCTGTGAAAGGGAACACTCTGAATGGAACTGCTGTGTCAATACATGAAGCCTTCACTTAGGCACCCACTTCATTCTCCCTCTTGCAGGTCGCGTTTACCTAGATAGAGCACAGGCACCAACCAAGCCCCCCGCCCATCTCCTGTGGGAAGGGGTATGTTTAGGAAAGTAATTTTTCTTACATATTTACATTTAAGAATCATATTTGTGCTCTTTATCCCATATAATTGAAAATAAATGCATGCTTTCTAGGTATAAACTCAATCTAGTAATTGTTCTATCCTAAAATTAATCCTGGCATTTAAAGAAGCAAGTAGTTTTTATGGTAGAAATACTATAGAAAGAAAAATAGAATGAAAAACCACCCCTTTTTAAAAAGTTACAGTTCATACTTGCAAAGTAAAAACCAAACATACCTATATAAATGAAAACACTGTGTTGCACTATTGATCGTGACAGTCTAGTGGAAAAATTCTTTTGATAAGCATTTTTTATTAGATTGGTGGCTTTTAAACCTTTTTGACCATGACATTGTAAGAAAGACATTATACATCACAAACGATTACATACATTATTACTTACTTATGGGGAGATATAGATATAGATATAGATAGATATAAAACAGAAATAACCTTTTCATGAAATAATTTTCATCCTGAGTCTATGACATATTTTCCATGCTATGCTCTATCAGTTTTAAAAGTGCTGATTTTTTTTTTAAGTGCTGAATTTGATTCCCTAAACTGAGAACCAAGATGGCATCGCTGCTGAGAACATGGACTATAGAATTAAACTGATGGGGTTGGAATATTGGTTCTTCCCTTGTCTAGCTACGTGATCTTGATGAAGTTACTCAACTTCTTTGTGCCATCAGTATAAAGGGGAAAATAATATATCTACCTCAGAAGGCTGTTATGAGGATGAAATAAGTTAAATAGCTTACAACAGCGACCAGGACACAGTAAACACTATGAAAGTATTCATTATTAATACCAGGTTGACAACCCACTAATATGTCATAACCTGAAGTTTGAAGTTTGAAAAAAAATTACTTCTTTAGATAACCTAGATTGATCTCACCTGCCACCTTGGCTTCGAACACATTAATTTACAAACTCACAAATTAAATAAACTTCCTCCAAGGCAAACTTAAGAAACCCCTTTGTTTTATAGGGAGGATGAAAAAACTGCATTGCCTTGTAAAACCTTGACATGTTCTTTTAAAATGTAACTGTTAAGTCTTTTGGAGAGACAAGGTATGATCTCTTGGAAATCCAAAGCATAAAAGGAAAATCCTCCCTGAAAGGATGTTTTATTCATTGGTGCAATGCCTTGAATTTAATGTATTTTCAAAAACTATTTGTTTAAAGTGAATGGAAACCTTACTGGAAGAGTTCTTGATTTACATAGATAATAAATTAATAATTTTGTAATTTATGAAGAATTTCCCATTCAATGTGTCTTTAAATCTATAACCCGTGTTTCTGAAAATGTGTTATATGAAATGCTAAATTAATACATAAAAGTTTGAGACCCTTAGAGTCACAATATATAGCATAATAATAGGTAACTGGCAAAAACCAAATAACCCCAAATTATAATCATTCAAATGGTATATAATTTTATCTGTCTCCCAGCAAACAGTCCCAAGTGGGATTTCTTGGTGAGGAAAGGATACTTCTTGCTCCATACCGTCATCCTGGAACGCAGGCTAACGGAGCATCTGTCAGAACTCAGTTATATGGTCTCACTCACCTGCAAGGAAGGCTGGGATAACATGGTCCACTCCTGGACCATGGAAGAAAGGAGAGACTAGATTTTGATGACTTTATAGCAGACTCTGTAAAGATAAAGTAAAGGGTAAAGATATAGTAAAGGTCTACTGCAAAAATCCTTATTTAGAACTGTTTAGCTCAATGTTCCCTAAATGCATTTAACTATGAAATTCTTTTCTCTCTCGGCACCTATTAACACACTGTAGAAAGCAGCATACTTTGAGAAAGACTGATACCTGGAGACTCTCAAATCACATAATGGAATGAAACCTACATTTTCCAAGGATGATTGGAGAGAGATTTTCTAAACTTTTAAAAATAGTAATTTTAAAATAAACACAGAAAACTATGTAAAACAAATTCTACAGGTTAATTATCAGGCAAACACTCTTGAGACAGCCACTCAGGTTAGGAGAAAGAACCTTGCCAGTTACTCATAAAGAGCTTCACAGGTTATAGCTTCCTCACTTCCCTCAAAAGTAAACCCTGTACGGACTTGCATGATAATCTTTTCCTTTTTCTTTAGATCTGTAATCTGAATGGGCCAGCCATTATGGCTTGGTTCTGCGATTTTTATGTCTTTAAATTTCTTTTAATCTAGTTGTTTCTCCTATATCTTTTTTCTTCCTAGCAATTTATTGGTAAGGGAAATGGGCCATCTTTGTTACTGAATTTCCCAGTCTGTCTAGTAAATTGCATCCCCATGGTGAGGTTTAACATGTTCCTCTATCCTTTAATTTCTCATAAATTCGGAGTTGGATATAGAGGCTTAATCAGATTCAGACCTGGTTACTTGGGCAAGACACCGTCTTAGAAGATGCGCTCTTTTTCAGGAGGCACATAATGTATGGTTATCTCTTTCTGAGCTTGGCTGCCACTGATAGATTTTTATTATTTAGGAAATATAAGCTGGCAGCCTTCCGATTCTGTAACCCTTTCTCATTCACTGTGGAAATACTAATTCATTGTGGAAGTACTACTACGGTAAGGAGAAATTTTCCCCAGCTGATATTTAATCACCTGCTGATCCGTTTTGTATAGAAAAGGCAGGAAAAATGCTTATTTGCTTTGTATTTACCAGTTTTCAAAACAAGGAGTTGTTTTCCTAGCATGTGATTTAATTTGTATCATAATGAAAACACAGTTTTAAGCAGATTGGATATGTTTTAGTTCTTTTCAATTATCACCTATATTAAGCTCAGATCGGCTAGTTGTAATTTTGTTCTCCAAAGATTTTAATAAAGACTCTGGTGGGCTTTGTTAGCTTCCTTGTTACCCACTACAGTGAGACATTTCAGGCTCATCTTACACATTTTCTGTGCCAGAATTGGAATCAGCTGTTGATCTCTAAAAAGCTCTGGCTTCTTTTAGTGAAAACGGCTCTTTATTGCCACAGGAAGAACTCTAGAGATCTTCACATTTACTGGATTCTGCTGCTTCCAGACCATTTCAGTGAGCAGAGGTTTAAAATATATATTGTTATTTCCTTTACTTTGAAGATGAAATACTTCTTGAGTTCATACTAATGAACTATAGGCGTTCACTTAAGTTCTGTCTTCCATCTCTCCTTTTTACTATACGAAGAATCCACTTTTTTCAAGGACATTAAATATAGAAACAGAATATATTACAATTATACATTTGCTTTATTCCACATAACACAGAAAACATTTTCAGAATAATACTTATACTGTCACCAAGAGGAGTACATAAAAAAGGTAATATTTTTACATAGGTTCTCTCATTCTTTTACACTTGCATTTGATCTGTGTCTTCAGAGCATGTAGCCCATATAGAAGTTCTCCATGTAAACTGGCTCAACACAAATCTTTACATTGATGTCTTTCCAGCCAGTTTTGATGTCTAAAACTCAAGTCTCTAGTGAATTCCTAAGAAAGGGCTCAAGGAAACAATATTCCTTGAGTTCCTACATGTTGTTAGCAGTTTATGTATGGTCTTTTAATTGGAAGTCAGCTTTGCTGGATATAAAATCCTTGGATTTTTTTGTCATTGTGTATCTTTTTTATAGTTATGCATTTTTTTCTGGCATAAAATTTTCTGTCAAATCTAATGACAATCTGATTTTATTTTCTTTATAAGACATTGGGTATTCTTGCCTAGATACTCAATTTTTTTTCTCTTTCTTTAAAGCTTAATAATTTTACTAGGATATGTCTCAGTATGGGCAATTCTGATGTTCCCTTTTAATATAGGACCCTTTTGTGGGGAGCGTATAGCTCAAGTGATAGAGCACATGCTTAGCATGCACGAGGTCCTGGGTTCAATCCCCAGTACCTCCTACAAATATAAATAAATAAATAAACCCAATTACCTCTCTTTCATAAAACAAAACAAACCACAAAAGTAAAAAGGACCCTTTCAAACCTTTTTTATTTTTTGAAAGTTTTCTTGAATCTTTTGGGGTTTTTTTTGTAAAGTGTTGTTCTCTTGCTTAGGTTTTGTTTTTCATAAACTCTACATAAGCATGTGGCATCTATTTTGCCTCACTTTTCTATTCATCAGTTTTTCTCAAATTATTTCAATTTTTTTTAAAATATTTTCTTCATTTTTCTTTTTATATATTATTTTGTTTTTTCTTAAGGCATTGTTTGTTGTATTTTTATCCTTGTATTTCTCCTAGTTTTGTCTTCATTTCTGAAATTTTTAAAATATCTATTTACTGAGTTCTATCACTTAAGTTCTGAGTTTTTGTAATTCTTATTATGTTGTTCTTTCATACCTTGTCATTTCCTAAATGACTGTTAGCTCATTTTGAAATAGTAGTTTCTATCTAATATTCACGCATGTCTTTCTGCTGCAGTTTCTTATCTGTGGAGATGGTATTCTGACATTTGTTCTTTTTCATGAAGTTTTATGAACTTTTAGAAAGAGGTGTGGTTGGGGACTGTTGTTCCTAATTTCCTTTTCATGGTCCAGAGTTCTCTTCTCTTGTTTGTTTGCTTGTTTGTTTTTGCATGTTCAAGATATAGCAGCTCTTTGTGAAATTCGCCGGATTCCTTTTCCTCCCCCTTTGGTTTACTGGCCTTTTCTTCTCCGTAATTGCTAGTTTCCCTGTTTTGATCAGTTTGGGAACTTTCCCCACCAGTTTCTCTTCAGTGCAGGAAATTGTCCTGGAAGGCAGCTTTGGTCTGTTGAAAGTTCATTGGACACGGCTTCAGGCCCACAAATCTCTCCACGGACCCCTTGTATTCACGTGCTTTTGGAGTATGCAAAAATCTCCTACTCTCAAGCTTAATTTTCCATTTTGGTGTTCTTGAGTATGTCAGATGCCACATTTTTACCTTCTGTTTCTCGTGTTGGATACTGATATCACACAGGTTCTGTAACTTGAGTCATCAGTCCCCACCTGTTCATGCTTTGAGGTTTGTGGAGATAACTTTTACTGAGAATATGGTCTATTTGGTTTTGTCTTTGCTCTCTCTGTTGCACCGTGATATGCAAAGGACTTTTTTTTTTCCACTTCTATAACCATTTCCTCAGAATCTCTGAGAAATTTTTTACATATGAGAAGCAAGAGCAAAAAATGTTTAGGCAATATTTCTGTCCTAGAGATTTTTCCATCCCTCATCAACTTTTGAGAATCAGAGTGTAATTTCGCTAAGAATTTCCTTAGAAAGCATTGCAATGGTATTTGGTAAATTTTTTTATCCCATTTTTCCAAAGACTCAACTTCACAGCATATATAGCTTTTTTTTTTTTTTTTGCCTCAAGGAAGATTAGAAATGGCAGAGCTACAGACAGTAGGACTAATGAGTTAAATGAGGGAGAGACCACATCAGAATCATCAAAGAAACCCTATAACAGAACAAAGGCAGTGGGTTTCTATATCTGATGGGAGCTGACAAGGCCAGGCCTTGGACTCATGCTTATCTCCAGATAAGAAATCTACACAGGGACTTAAATTCACAAGCACCTAGATTAATGCTAGGTTTTATTAAACTGTCACAGTTAATAGTTCAGTATTAGAAAAATACCAAATTAAACATTCTTATTTGGATTTATTTAAAATATTTTATTTCAATTATCTGTTATATTTTATATGGGTGATTTAAATTCATTTGTTTGTATGTTTTATTACTGTAATGATAGTCTATCATTCTGGGAAATGTCATCTGGATTTTAGAGAAAAAGTATGAGAATTAGAGAAAATATTATATTCTCTTTGTATCAGATACACAGGTACCTATGGGGAACCCTTACATTTAGGCAATGTGATCACAGTCTGCTAATGGCAACTTTAAAAAGTCCAGTCTTAGTGCCCAGGAAGAACTAAATTATTCTATACCAAGAAATACTTATGATTTACATACTGTATGTCGGACACAGAACAAGGCTCTCAGTGCCCAAGAAAATTGACATGTTAAGACATGGACTCTCCAAATAGCCCACAGGAAGGAAAGCACACACGTCAGCACAGATGCAGTGGGAATACTTACTGGTAAGGTGATTCCATTTATGTGGGTGCAAGGAAGTCAGGGGAGGCTCTCAGAGGGAACATCCGTTTTAATTTTGACAGAGTAATACTGATATTCAGGCCAGGTTCAGGGGTAACAGCATTGTTGCTAGAGAGAACAAAAGGTGTGAAGGCCCAGTGTCATAATGAAGGACTAAACTTTTAAGTGTTGGTTTTCAAAGGTAAATAACTTCAAAAATCTAGAATCATAAAGAGGCCTATGTGCCAGAGACAGTTGGTTCTTATTGGCCATCTCCTTCCCTAGCAAGTAAACTTTAGCTGTATGACCTTGTTCTTTATAATGAAACTGGTCCAAAGTTGACTTTGGGTTAGGTATCCACACCTCACTTTCTCACTTCTCTATTTTTGAAGCTGACAGTATGTCTTTATATAATACTCTAGGGGAGAGGAGATCCAGGTTTATATTTGAAGAATCTCGATTTAATAAATCATCCAGATGCAAGCCTCCTTTGTTATTCTTCTTTTCTTAGCCCACCTCCATCTCCCCTGTGACCTATTTTATGAACTTCCTATCTCACTAGCTAACAGAGAGAAAGGAGTAAGGAGAAACACTAACTCATCTATCTCTTCTTAGCAGTGCTACAACAGTTTTTATAGGCTGGAATGTACAAATATCCCCTGAGATTGGATTGTGTTTGTGGATTTCAGTCACCTACACCCCTCCAGCCCGTTGCCTATTTCCGTGGCGAGGGCTGGTAGGAGAGTTAGCTGCAGTGTTGGTTTTCAGTGTATTAATTTCTAGAACGTCTACACGGTTATGAATGACAGGCAGAGGGTATCATCTTAAAAGCAGATCCAGCGGACTGAGACTAATGGAGAGTGAGGCCTTGATGGAGGATATTCTTAAATCCTATCACATTACAGCACTATTTCCAAACCCCTTTCTCACCTGGGTTTACACAAGAACTAAGGCACAGAATATACAAGTGAATTATTCAGGGTTACATAATAATTTGAATTGTGTGCACATGCTTGTGTGTATGTGTTATTTTCTCTTTTGCTTTATTTGACGGTTTAGACTAAGCAGGTACATAAATCTTTTCACATGTTCACTTGGTTCAAGCATTAATTGATGTTTAGAAGGTAGAAAAGTAGTAGAATGCTAATCAGGATCTTTTAAGATACTTCTATTTTCTTTCATTTTTAAATCATTTAAATTAGTATTCCTGCTCATGAGAACAAACAATCAAATTCAACGGTGAACTAGTAATAAATTATTGGTAAGCATTTAGCATGGGATTCCTTTTCAGATAATTAAGAGTAATTACCTGATTTCAAAGGCCTTTCGTGATCATCTGGTGTCAATTTGATACAATTAAAATGTAAAATGACTTTACAAGTATTGACAGATTATCCAATTATAAAGCCACGTGGACAGTAAATGTGTTTCAATGGCTCTAAACATGTAAAACTAGAAGAAAATTTTGTGGCATTTTTATGCGTATTTCAGTGCAATCCAACATTATTTTGATTAACAGCCAAGATTAAGTTTACAGGTTTTGTTCTTGCTGCAATATCTGAAAAGGTAAAAGGGCTAAAAAATAAATAAAGCATTCCAAATATGGAAATGATGCTTTGGTGACCTTAATTCAGAGACTTTTATTTCTCCTGTCATTTAAACATTTATGTGCCTCTTTATATTTCTGTGTCTGGAATTGTGCTACTTTGACCATATTTAATGGTATTTATTGAACAACCACTGTGTAAAATACATACCAAGATCTTCAGGGAGTGACATGGGAAGTAGAGACCATGATCTATCATGCCGTCAAAGAGTTTATAAAGAAAGGAAGGAGATGGGGTAATAAAGAAATAACGAATGATCATATACAGGCAGGTGTAACGTGTGTATGTATATATGTTTAGAATCAAATCCTGTAGAGTAATTCTTGAGCATGGGTGGAAAGCTGCTTAGGAAGGAAGAGAAGAATTTATCATTATTAAAAGAAAGACTGTCCACAGTGAAGCCTTGTTCAGTGCTCTGAAGAAGAGGAAAGATAGGATTTAGGACACTTGAAGGAGATTCTTCCAGTAGGGGGAGATTTTGCAGGTCCTCTGTGGGTAGAGCAGGTGGATGGCAGGTGGTAGGCAGGCTTCCCTGGCTCAAGAATGTTGTATGAGCCAAGTGTATACAAAGACGTGGGGACCCGTGGGTAAAGTGATTTGTGTAGGAGATCTTTGAAGTTCATATTTATACGTTTATTTTGCTGGAAGGGGAACAGCATGCAGTGGCTCATCTTCTGCAGATCAGAGAGCCTCCCAAGTAAAAGGAAATTTGTAATTTATTGGCAGGATTGAACCCGTAATGTCCTCTGTGAGTTTGTTCTTTTTTAAAAAATGATTTTCTCATTAAAATGTTCTGTGCAGTTTTTTTTTCTATTGGACCAGACTATCTGAGGGCACAAGGGACATTGTCTTCCTTTTCTCATTCATGTAAACATTCAAAATGCACTCATCTCTTACAAATGGCAGACTATTTTGAGAGCAGGGTGTGCTTCATTGATGAAAATAGTCTCCCTGTGCCTAATTATGCATGGGAGGTGGAAATGTAGTCTTCATCATAACACAGCACAAGAAAGAGGTGTCAGGTGAAAAACCTCACAATGATTTACATTGAATCACATAATGGTTTGATTTCCTTAGTATGTTTCATACTCGCAATAGTCTCTTCCATGTCACTGATATACTCATGCCTACACGCGTACGGATCATCACGTAGAATTTATCAGCCAGCACCAGGTCCCTTCTGACTCTGCCTGCTCTTTTATTTTCAGTCATGTGATCCCCACACAATGCAGAGGAGAACCCGCCATCTGCTGAGGCCCCCGCCGAGCTCAAGGTCGTGCGCTGAGGACTCCCAGGTGCGGCCCTGCCTCCTCAATGAAAACTGCTTCCAGTTCCAGTACAATCTAACAGGTATGGTTGAAAACCATGCAGAATGTGATTATGCTGTTGTAGAATTGAGCTCTTTCATGGCTCTGATCATTCCAGGAAATGTCAGGCTCCTGACCGTCCTTGCTCTCTGGGGATGGCCGCCGGGCCTGACTGGACAGGGATGGCTTAGAGGCACTGAAAGTCACAGCAGCCTCCTCCTCCAGACCCGGCTCAGGTTTTTCCTGGGGACCGCAGTGCTCAGTGTCTGATACCCAAGGACTGTGTAGTTACGCTGACTGCCGTTCCCTGCGGCAGCTGACACACAGGACGCGGCAAGACGCGGAGCCGTGTTAAGTCTCAGCACTGAATTCAGTGCCGACGACCAAATTGCCACATGCGTGCCGAGGCCAAGCAGTAGCCTTTCCTGAAACCAGTTCTCGCCTGTGGTCCCAGCGGCACTGCGGAGAGTTCTCACGTAGGAAGCTCCTGTGACTTCCCCCGGGCTGCCTGGCTGTCTTTACAGGTGAAAGCTGGCCTGGGGTATCTGCTCTTTTTCTTCAGTTAAGGGTGTTTCAGATCATTAGTTTTTGTAATAATTTTTCAGAAATACAATAGAGTTTGCTTTCCTGGAAGAGCATGTCTTTAAAATACCAATTTCACCATACATGGGTTTGCTCTTCTATTAAACTTGTAGATCATCTACCAAATAGGGAAAATCTCCTTAAAGAGGTTCTCACGGTATATGATCAAGGATCTTTTTTTTCCTACCCACACCAAAGTAAGATTTTTTTAAAAGAATTAGTTAAGGGGTAATTTATTCTAATTCCTAGTGTCTAGTTTGTATTACAGCTAGACAAGTCTATAAAACCGTCTCTCATGAGAGAATAACGTTTATTAAAATGAGAATTTCTGTCACGGTCCATATATCTTGCCCTCTTTCCCTTCTGTGGTACCTCTCTTGTCTCCATTCTACCAGTTAGACCAAATTATAATTATTTCTTGAAAATATCTTCAAGTTGACATCAAAGACTAGTATCATTTCTGAGTTTTTTTCCATCTCAGTTATCCCCAGCACACGGATGATTCCAAACTGGTTTTCCTTTGCCGTCGTGCTTAGTGTTTTTCCTTCCCTACCCCAGCCAACTGTGAGATGGTTTCTAAAAACCATCTGGCTTTTGACCTTAGGAAGGTAACTCACTTTTATTTGATTATCTGATTAATCGATTGTTTGGCAAAAATAGAATTGAATGATGCTTTTTGAAGCCACTTGGAAGTGGTTTTAGGATTCTGTGCACACCGTTCTTCTGCAACCGATGCAGATCATCAAAGGTGTGTTGTATTTTGCTCACATGGCCATAATTTTGAAACTCAGTGTGGTGATCTTATGCCTGTAGAGTGGAGCACATGCCAGCTGAGTGAAAATGCGACCTGCGGACAAGGCATGAGGACCCGCCTTCTGAGCTGTGTGCGCAGTGATGGCAAGCCCGTCGGCGTGGACCAGTGTGAGCAGGTGATTTTTGTGTGTCTGTGTCCCACACCCACAGCTTGGTTTTCTTAATGCTGGTCTGCAGCCTCCACGATGCTTGACATAGATGACAGTATGAATTATCACAGCCGCAGTTCAGTTAGAATAAGAGGTACCAGTATCTTTACAGTTATATTGCACTAGTTTGAACTTAGAATCACCAGGAGAGGTCATTTTGCATTTTGCACAATGACGGAGGTCATTAAAAAATATTATTTTCAAGAACTTATTTAGAGGCACTTGCTGGCCAATAAAGTGTTGATATCACATGACTCTTCTAATATTTAGATACGACTCTTTGAATCGGGCAGGTGATTCATTTGCCCGTATAGTAAACACTGCCCCTTGCATACAAGGTGAACACTGACACCCACTATTAGAATGCTCTGCTAATTTGCTTAGCAAATGATTGTAAGGTCATTAGCACAGTAGCATTCTTCTCAACGTGAAGATGCCTCCCTACCAAGTCTCCAAGTAGTGAGTTTTAAATTTTTGAAATTTTATTGCCCCTCTTTTTCCCACGACAAAAATATGTGGAGTTTGGACAAAAGCTGTAATCAGACACGTTCCAAATAAGTTGGCATTTCCTTCCCAATGTATATGTGAAACACATGATAGGGACAGTTTCACAGACATAAAGATAACCATATGCTTTCATATTATAAGAATCACTAAAACAATCTTTGGAATAATTGGAAATTATTATTTATATGAGGCAAGTTAAGCCAGGTTTCCACAGAAACTTTAACAAACTGGCAAAATAAAAGTTGTCTCATGTTTCCTTAGGTAAGTAGAGTCCACAAGTGGAAATTAAAATCAGAACAAAATCCTCCTCACTCACCCTGATCGAACCCTGTTAAGTGTTGCCACCACATGCTTTTAAACCAACAGTATCACCACAGGCCAACAGCAACCCTGAGTCTAGACCACCTGAAATTGGATGTCCCACTTAATGAAATTCTGAGACTGGCTAGTAGAGGGCAGAGTTCTGTCTACCAAGTGTCAGTGATTTATTTTAACATTTTGTTTCATTTCAGCTGCCTCTCAAGAAGTTGTCTGCTTTAGGAAAAATAAATCAGCAGAATGTATGACAACTCCACATAAGTGGAAATCTTACATTTAGTGCAAATAGTAAACCTTTTCTTTTGATACAAAGAACGATATAAACTATTAATTAATAGAAAAATCAGTTTCTCTGCTTTTCAAATATCATATGTCCAACAAATATTTAAAGAATGTTAAAGTCCCGAATTATTAACCTAACTAGAATACCCATATATCTCAAATGGATCATATTGGTAATTTCTGTTTTGTCCACTGAGCAAGTAGTCACGCTGTAATCATTAATTTTACTCAAGTGTGGACATTGCTAACATTTAGTGTGTATTGAATGTCAAAGTTTTTCTCAATAAGCACACAATGTGTGATTCCCAAAGCAGAGTTTTTTGTGTTTTTTTTTATTCTTCTGTGTTTCTTGGATGATTTATTTTTTCACTAAGACCTCTTCTGCCTTGGCCATTAGAAAATGTGTAATGTTGCCTAGATGTGGGTTTCAGAGAGGGCAAGAGGAAAAGAAACTGTATCACCAGCTTTTCCTTGATTGAGATCATGACTGTTTTTAGACTAATTGGTCTTTTTCATGAACTTCAGATGGGTTGTTGATTTGGGTTTTATTCTTTTTCTGTTTATTGTTTTAGCCCCAGTAGCTGATAGTTTGAGCTCTGTATGCACTATCAGCCCACCCAGAAGAGCAGGTGCCTGAATTCAGCGCGGAGGCATCCTCTGGCTCCTTGCTGGCTGAGTGACAGGACAGATCTGTGTGTCACATAAAGGCCTGCTTTCCTTAATTTTAACTGCAGGTCTATTCAAAAGTCAAGGATTTTATGAAAAGAAATTGGGGCTGACAAGTTTCTGTTTTGTAAAGTGAGGGACCATCATTTTCTTGGTTTGCCACCCGTTTACAGAAGCAAAGATACTTTTTCCCCACAAAAGTATAGGAAGATTATTATCACAGAATAAAGGCTATTATCCCATAAAAGGACAGAGATTTGATCTGACATGAATTCTCCAGTGCAATCATATCCCGTTCCCACCTGCAGCATTACCTGGAGAAGCCCCGGAGGATGAGCGCGCCCTGCCTGGTGGAATGTGTGGTCAACTGTCAGCTCTCGGGGTGGACCGCTTGGACAGAGTGCTCACAGACGTGTGGCCATGGAGGTATCTGGCTCCCCTGTGTTTGCTCCCACTACACACTTTAGTTTTGAAGTATCTTTCAGTGTGCCAGAGCTTGACAAATGGGCATAAGGTGTGTTGGCCAGCTGGACACAACATGCGGCTGACCCAGAGGAGCAGGATCAGAGCCCGGCCTCCTCTCGGCTCTCTGTGACCAGGCAGAGGATGGAGCAAGGGTTTGGTGACAGTGGCAGACTCAGAGGGGCTGCTGGCCCTGCGGGGTGGTGTTTATGCCAAAGGTCCTAAGTTCAACCAATTCAAACAACGTTGGCCTCTCTTGTTTTAGAAGAAGTATATATTCTAGAAGTAAAGCTGGCTCCTGTGTCAGGTAAACTGCCCCATCACAGTGGCTTAATATCATAGGTCAGAGAGGAATTTTAGCTAGCCCATGTAGAGGGAGGGGTCGTCTCTGCCTCACAGTGTCAGCCAAGGGCATGGGCTGATGGAAGCTCTGCTGCTTTAACATAAGCACATTTCTCAGGAGGGTGCCATCCAGCTGGCTCCGTGAAGGTTTTTATGGACCAGGTGGGAAGTGGCATACATCTCTCCCTCCTATATTCTGTCAGATAAAATGTGGTCCCATTTCTCCAGCTCAGTGCAAGATGGTCGAGCAGGAAATGGAGTTTGAGTGGTCAGTCACTTCTTAGCAGCAGTGTTTTGGAAGAAATAGTTCCTGAGGAAGAAAGGGAGTCTTAAATCTCTGCAGAGCAGATCGCAATTAATATGATACGTTCCCAGGTAAGTCCGGCACAATGGCAAGGAAGGCAGTCAGTACTCAGGAGCCAGGCAAATGGCAACAGCGATGGCACCCCAGCCATCAGGCTGAAGTGGGGAGCAAGACAGGTGTCCATGTACGAGAGAACAAGGAAAGCATACCAGCAAAGCACAGAGCTGTGGTTCAGGTATAGGATTCCGGTCCTGAAAAACAGTTACAGTTTATCACAAGGTAAATGTCAGCAGTCTGGAGTAGGGACCTAGGGAAGATCCTGCTGTATGTTCATCTCTAAGTAGGGGAGGACAAGGGAAGAAATTCAAGTGGAGGAATCACGGCATCTGGGGGGAGATGGGGCTCAAAGGCCTGGATCTGGTCCCCAGACAGTGTGGAAGCAGTTGTTCAGAAGTCCTGTGACTGGCGCTGGGGTATTGCCGACAGTTAGGTTCTTGTCTCATCACAGGAGGAATTCAGAGATGAGACAGGGAGGTTGAGAGAGTAAAGTGAGGATTTGTTAGAGGATGGATAGCGCACTGTCAAGGGGAGGGCGGGCAGGCTCAGGTGAGCAGCTGCACTGAGTTTCTTTGGCAGGTTTGTTCTATAGGGTGTAAAAATGATTGGGTGGAATATTTATTTGGGAAGGAGGGGTTTGGGGTCATCTTCCCTGATTTTCATCCCAGCTCCCCCTTCCAAAGGGGAGGAGGGATTTTTGTCCTTATTTAGTCTGGATCTGAAGTGTCATGGCCCCAGTGCATGATGGGTACTTCTAATCTGCAAGGCTAATTTTATTGTAATAAGGGCATAATGAGCAAAAGGTTACATTACGACACTGGAGATTCCTGCCTTTTCCCACCTTTCTTTGTTGGCCTCCATGCCACTTGTCACCCCAAAATGTGTAACTTCTTTTTAGTCCGGAGGTTCCTGCTTTTCTCTGTCTACCCAAGGAGCCCTGTTGTTCACAAGATGTATGGTTTCCTGCATTTGGCCGGGCTGCTCC